TTGTCCCACAAGAAAATTTTTAAAAAATACACAGGCGTAGACAGAGACAAACTCAAAGACATTGAGATACAGACACACACATATGAGGCACAGAGAGAGTGAAACATGCACAAGCATGCAAAATTTCTCAGTTTGATGACAACTGCTCAGGTGATTTCTCTCTGAAATACAAACTTCACAGAACAGTTAGAGCAAGGGAAGGTATTCAGCCCATTTTGACCATGCTGGCTTGTCTTAGAAGAAATTCACCTCAGAGCCCTCCCCGCACACTCTCTCTTTTCAGATAATGATCCAATCCATTCTTGAAAGCTTCAATGGAACCTGCCTTCACCACCAGCATATCGGAACTTAACCATTCATTTGTGACAAGGCTTCTCCTCATGTCTCACGATGAGGTGACAAGGTTACTGCACGATAAAAGAGTTCATGTTGCAATGCTGTAGCAAAATAGTATAGATGGAGAAATGGCGAGCTAACAAGAAACAGCACAGGCAGCAATGGGTCAGTAAAAGTTATTTATCAGGTTAACAAGATGTAACAACTTCTGTGCCACAGGGATCAGTGCTGGGGCCTCAACTGTTTGCAATTTATAATAATGACTGGGCAAAGAGACTGAAGGTATGGTAGCTACATTTGTTGATGACACAAAATAGGTTTGAAAGTAAGTTGTGAAGAGGGCATAAGGAGTATGCAAAGGGAAGAATATAGATTGAGTGAGTAGACAAAAAATTGGCAGGAGCATAATGTGGCAAAATATGATCTTGTCCAGTTAAGAAGAGAAAAGCAACATATTGTTTGAATGGCAAGAGACTGCCGAACTCAGTGGTACAGGGAAATCTGGGTGTCCTGGGATACGATTAAAAAGTGTTAGTATGCAGGTACAACTAGTGATCAGAAAGGCAAATGGAGTGTTGTCATTTTGTTTTGATTCATTGCATTCCTGGTTAGGTGGTCAGCATTTATTGCCCATCATTAATTGTCCTGTAGGAGGTGGTGCTGAGCGACAGTGGTTAGCACTGATGCCTCACAGCACCAGCGACCTGGGTTCAATTCCACCCTCGGACGACTGTCTGTGTGGAGTTTGTGCATTCTCCCAGAGTCCCTATGGGCTTCCTCCAGGTGCTCTGGTTTCCTCCCGTAGTCCAAAGATGTGTAGGTTAGGTGGATTGGCCATGCTAAATTGCCCATAGTGTCCAGGATATGCAGACTAGATGGTTTAACCATGGGAATTGCAGGGTTACAAGGATAAAGCAAGGGGTGGATCTGGGTGGGTTGCTGTTCAGAGGGTCAGTGCAAACTTGATCGGCTGAATGGCCTACTTCCACCTTGTAGGGATTCTATGATACTTGTCTGAACTGCTGCTGTGTAGGGAGAGTACCATTAGTGAGAGAGTTCCAGGATTTTCACATATACAGCCTCAAGTTTGCTAGATAGTGTGCTGTAGATGAGAACAGATGGAGGTCATTCAGTTCCTCAAGTCTGTTACAAAAGAACAGGAGGATGCATCTTGAATTTGCTCCACCAGTTGATTGAATGAAATCAACATACACCTTCACTGTTGACCTTTCCCCTCATACCCCCATTTCACAAAGATTCTTGGCCAATGCTGAAAACTCCAATTGATCTCGAGCATCCAAAATCTTTCAGGGTCCAGAGTTTCAGATTTCTTCTCCTCTTTGTCTGCAATACATGTGTCCTGATTTCCTGCTTGCTATTATTTGTTACTGTCACATTAAATAAATGGTTGTTAAATAATTTTATTACTAGCTCATTGAATGGTGATTTCTTTTGATTATGTAAATCTCGTTTCTTTATTGATCATGACAGCCAACATCTTGTTGTTACATGTGTCTGATAATGGAACTGCTTTAAAATCATTGATGCTTTGGGACAGGCATTCACCATGCAGCTCCGAAGTAGCAAGATTCACCAGTCAACAAAATGCAGAATGGCCATATCTGGGCAATGTGTGTATAAAATCATAAGGCAAAAAAAAACCAAGGGCAATTTACCATTAAAGCACAGTATCTTCCTGTAGCTGATAACTGACAATGGTTGGAGCATTAATAAACTGAGCCACAGGGCCACCTGAACTCCTAAGTGAAATATAGCGTGACTGAAATAATGATCCCGATAAACTAAATTTGAATCCAAATGAGGAAGTTTAAAGTCTTTAATTGAGTTTGAACTAAAAGTAACAATGAAACTGTCAGACTATGTAAATGTTTCACTAATGTTCCTTTGGCTAAGAAAGCTGATGCCCTTCCCTTTAAATCTCAGAATTTCTACCTTAAATTACACCATTGGCCAATTCTATTCAATAATGTCATTGGTTACCTATTGGACTATGCTGCATTGTGGCATTACAATCTTTCCCTTTCATCTGTGAATTGTTCTTGGACTGTGATGGATCAACCGTTATTGGCTGTGGAGCATTAAGAAATATCACAGAGAATGCAGCAGCCAAAGGCTGCTGAGCAGGCAGTGATGGAGTGGGGGTTGGGGGGTGGAGGGGAATCTGACTGCATGGCTGAGATAAGGGGGAGATGGATGACTGAATTTGTACAGGCATTGTGCTGAAGCCAACAGAGTGAGGAATGAGCTTGCTGAGTAAGTTTTTGTAAGGTTTGCACTCAGCAATTTTCTGCACAGAAAGGAGCAGTGAGTAATCTGCTGATATCATGGTGAAAGCCAGCTCTCAACATCATCAAGGATGGACAACAGAAATATCTGCCTTACAGCCAACAGGTTCCATGTGAAATACGAGTATGTGGTTTGAATTCCTTTTGGGGTGGGTCCTGCTCCGTCAGCAGGAGTACGGCGGTGACTGCCATCTGAGCTGGCATACTGAGAGAGGGTAACACTTTTGGAAGTGTTCAGAAAGGTCTGGGTCCCACTGCAGAGAATTCAATAGAGGATCCAGGCCAACACTCCAGTACTGATAGAGTGCTGCTCTCTCTGAGGTGCCGATTTCAAATGGATTGTAAAGCTGGGGCTCCATGTTCAAGAAACAAGACAGGCCAGTTCTCCTGTGTCCCTGCTAAGGTTTATTGAGGTTGTAGACATGCTCACTGAGCTGGTGGGTTTGGTTGCAAACGTTTCGTCACCCTGCTAGGTAACATCATCAGTGCGCCTCCGGTGAAGCGTCAGCGTTCTGTCCCGCTTGTTATTTATATGCCTCAGTTTGTTGGGGTATTTGGTACCACTTCCGGTTCTGTTTCTCATTGGTTTGTACGCAGGGTCTAATTCAATGTATTTGTTGATGGAGTTCCAGTTAGAATACCAGGCCTCTAGGAATTCCCTGGCATGTCTCTGTTTGGTTTTAAAAGTTTATTGATTAACTGCAGGCTCTGTGACAAACTGAATGAAAACATGTTGTGCACTTTAAACACTTGAAATGTAGTCCACTCCAAATCCGTCCTGTGTCTTGAAAACCTGATTATTAGCCTGCTCCAATCCTATTGGAATTCATGTGTAGGGCTTCAAGAATGTTAAATGCAACATGTATCAATGGTGTTCTATAGCTGCCCATGCAAGTATAATGCTTCCTTGACTGTGTTATGAATTAGTGCTATTACATAAACATAGAAACGTAGAAAATAGCAGCAGGCCCTTCAAGCCTGCTCCACCATTCAATAGGATCATGGCTGATCATCCAACTCAGTACTCTGTTTCCACTTTCTCCCCATTGTCTTATATCCCTTTAGCCCTAAGAACTATATCTAACTCCTCCTTCAAAACATCAGTGTTTTGGCCATAATTGATTTCTGTGGCAGGTTATTCCATAGGTTCACCACTGTCTAGATGAAGAAATGTCATCATCTCAGTCCTTAATGGCCTACCATGTATCCTTAGATTGTGACCCCTGGTTCTGGACTCCATGATCATCAGGATCACCCCTCATGCATTTACCCTGTCCAGTCCTGTTAGAATTTTATAAGTTTCTACAAGATTTCCTCTCATTCTTCTAAGCTCCAGTGAATATAGTCCTTCCCAATCCAATCTTTCTTCATACGTCAGTCCTGCCATCCCCTGGAATCAGTCTGGCAAACCTTTGTTGCACTCTTTCCTGTAGGCTAGACACTGAATGGAAGAGTGCTATCTTCGTGACTTACAATCTTATGTCATTGTTAATGATGTTCATTGTTAATGATGTACCATGTTTTAGCCGGTTTCCTCTCTTCATTTATCATCTGGATTGACCAGCCAGAATTGACACCTTTAATAATGAGTTTACTGCTGCTCACCATTATTATTATGTAATTGGTTCAGTAACGTTATGAGAAAGAAGCACCCTGAGAATTCGTGAATAATTCCCCTCGCTCCGCTGTTACATACAGATGAAGCAGGAGTAGGCAAGTCAGCCCCTTGACCATACTGCACCATTCAATAAGGTCATGGCTGATTTGATCACTCCACATTCCTTCAATAATTATTAATGCATGCCACTTAACTCTTTTGGCCAAGACAATTAAAGCTTATTATTTTAAAAGAATATGCCTATCTTTTCTGCGTCTTTTCCTCTATTTGTTAAACAAGTCTTTCTTCCCTCCATTTCTCTTTGACTCTAATTATCTTTATTGAATGCTCTGTTGGTTCTGATAATCTGTTGGTCGCATTATTCAGCATGGCCTACAGTCATACCCATCAAGCCTGTTATCAGCTTTCACTTCCAGCAGCATACAGTGTAAAAATATTTTTAAGTTAAAAGCTCCAAATAAAAGCGTGAAAATAAAGCTGTCCTTCTTTATTGAATCCATGGCAGATACTGGACATGCCGAGTATAGTCGACATTGGACACTGTCTGATCCACGCTGAGTACAGAGCAGACCCTGGACACTGCCTGATCCGCACTGATATGGAGCAGACCCTGGGCACTGCTTGATTCGCACTGATACTGAGCAAACCCTGGGCACTGCCTGATCCACTGTGAGCCAATCTGAACACAAGGACATTCTTTCCTAAACAACCTTCTCACACCTTTCCCATGAGTTACTTACCATTTGGATAACAGATACTGGGCCAATGCTGTTCACATAAATGTCCACGTCAATAACAATTGGCTTTACTGAAAAATAAACAAAAAAAAACACATTATTAGAATTCGTAAAAGTGAAGATTGTACTTCAAGATTCTGCCACACGTCTATTCTAGGAAACCATGTCTGATTAAAATTAATGATGCATTTCAGTACCCCAGTTTGAGTTTGGAGGTGCTGGATTCACCAATGGCTCTCATGGTCCCCCCAACCCCACCACCACCACCCCGGTCCGCTCGCCCATACCCAGGTACTACAGTCCTACACTGTCAGAGTGCCCCAGTTTTGGTCATGATTTTTAACCCAAGCCATGTCTGCCTCAGGCAGATGCAACCAATTGTTGGAAAGAGAGCAAAAGAAGTCTAACTGGTCTTCTTGCCCATTTGACACAAATGGCTTGTCTGATGCACTGATGTGCTGGGCTTTCCTGTCATTGAGAATGGGTTTATCTGTGAGAAAAAAATAAGTCTCCTCATCTCTGTCGTAAATGAGCAACCCCTGATTTTTAAACAGCGATGCCTAATTTCCCTGACAAGAGAAACATCTTTTCCATACCTACTCTGTCAATACTTCTCAGGGTCTTATGTGTTTCAATCAAGTCACCTCTTATTCTTCTAAGCTCCAGTGGACACAGGCCTAACTAATCCAACAGCTCTTCATAAGATAACCTGCTCATTCCAGACATTAGATTAATGAACTGTCTCTGAACTACTTCCAAAGCATATACATCCTTCCTTAAGTAAGGAGGCCAATATTGTACACAGTACTCCAGGTATTGTCTCATCAGTGCCTGTATAACTGAAGCATAACCTCACTGCTTTCATCTTAAATCCCTTTGTGACAAATGATAACATTCTGCTAGCTTTCCTGATTCCTTGCTGTGCCTGCATTCTAACCTTCTGGGAATCATGTCCTAGGGATCATGTCCTAGGGAACCCAAATCTCTTTACATCTCATAGGTCTCCAATCTCTCACAATTTGTACAATATACTTCCTTATTGTTTTTATCTGCCAAAATAGACAATTTTACATTTTCCCACCTGTTATCGCATTTGCAGTTTTGTCAAATGAATATGTTTTACTCAACCTTGCTTTGAGACACTCACTCCATCAGCAATGGAATTATCTAGGTTTTGATGCAGAGGACAGTTCCCTAAATCTTGACATCTTGCAGGATTTGAATGTTCAACAGCAGTCTGTACTCATCAGGTAACAATAATTTTGGTTGCTCAGGAAACTAATTGCAAACAAGATGCTACCACCACCAGGAATTTCCTGATCCCTCTGACTGAAGCCAGAATTTAGCAGGTACCTGGCAATGGTGCCCCAGTGACAGAGAGTGTGGGTAAATTTCCTTTGTTGAGGGCCATAGCCCAGTTACAAGCAATCCCACAGAATCACTCCTCAGCACAATCCTGGCTTGTTGGCAGTGGCTATTTCTCATTTTGAAGGTTCCACATGCATTCAGCTACCGTGTGCAGCCACTTTGAAACATCCTCACAGTCTCCTCCTGCCTCAGCAGCCCTCACCTTTAACAGGAAGTCTTCCGGCTGAATGGAGTTTTGAGTCCAATAATCATAGGATCAGGAATCTCACCCTCACTCTGACATCCCTCACCCTCACGCCAACTCTTACGCTCACCCTGATCTCCCTCACCCTGACTCCGACCCTTAATCTCCTCTCATTCTGACCTCCATTCCTCACTCTGACCCTCAACCCAACCCTCACCTCCCCTTACTCTGACAACTGCCCTCATTCCAATCCCCCTACCCTTGCTTTGACTCTCCTCATCCTCTTGATCCATGAAGTCCTATTTTCTGATTGTTGGGTGTGTCCTATGTTGCTTATTTGTTGTGAGACGTTTCTAAGGGCATGCAGTAGACTGTCAGGGAGTGAACCTCAGTGCCTGAATTCGACAGTCTAATCTACTCACATCCTGTGACACGAGGATATACAGAGATCCTTGCACATCTTGTAATTCATGTCATGCCTATGACTACCACCACTCAGTTTAACAATCAAACCAATGTGGACTGGGTGATCCTCAATACCTCAACACTGAAAATATAACTCTGCTCTATTGTAATGGTGGAGGTAGACAAATGAAATTATTAGAATAACATTGGTCTTGGTAAGTTGCCTGCCAGAGGGTGGAGTGGTGTTTTATCTATTTGTGAGGCTGATTGCTGGGGAATACATCTTGCTCTCCATTCTGTGTAACAGAAAGTCATGAGTTCTAGTGTAAATCCAGGTTCTTAATACATAATTCAGACTGACAGTGATAGAATGCCGCACTGTCTGATGTCCGATCTTCAGAAATAAACACTACACTGAGAATCTCTGCCTACCCTCTGAACCGAATGTAAAAGATCCAACAGCACAGTTCAAAGAGCGGAGTTCCCCCAGTAGTCCAGGCTGAGATTTATCCCTCAACCCATATCACATTCATCAAATTATCATGATCACATTCACTGTGTGTGAGATCTTACTATGTGCAAATCACTGCCTTGTTTCCTACATGACAACAGCAACTACGCTTCAGAGGTATCTCATTGGTTGAATGGAATTTCAGGATGTTCTATGGTTAGGAGAGATGCTAAATAAATGCAAGCTAATTTTCTCCAGATGTGTGAATGGGGCAAGGCTAAAATATTAAGATCTTTGCTTTGGTGTACTGATTGGAATCTGACAAAATGTCAGTAAAAGTTGAGACAGTAGAAGCAGTGTACGGGGTCAAAGCTAAAAGAGAGGAGGTACTGGAAAGGCTGGCTGTATTGAGGTTAGCTACGTCACCTGTTCAGGATAACTTGGAAGTTAAGGACAGTCGAGATAGAGAAAGAGGAAGGACTTGTCAATTATAGGCCATCTTTCTACGGAATGGCAATCACAGTCAGATTGGCACTCCACTCCTATTATTTTTCATTCAGGAAGATCTACTAATTTCTGGCAGGAGATTCGGATTAAAGCTCCTTCAGAAATACAAAGGGTCCCTCAAATCCAACTGTGTCGTTGTTGTGCAAGGTAGTCAGAGGGAGGCAACCTGTGCCCATTCGTCATAGCTGTAGTTGTAATATTCTGAGATAAATGTCCAGCAGTGCAGACATCCACTTTGACAGCTCCTGTGAAAGGTAATCTCTGTAAGCTAGGTAAGAGGTTAGGGTGCAAGTGAATAGGCTGCAGGTGGGCAGTTGCCCAAGTGCCAGGAAGGCTATGGAATATTTACGACAGGTTGGGGTGGGAGGGTGGGGCTGGCGTTGCGTCCAGCCTGGAAGAAGGGGGATGTGGGATCACGCAGAGGGAGAGGGGATGCAGGTTTTCAGAGAAGTAGGAAGGAGAATCCTGTAGGAAGGAGAGGGTGACAATCTCAGGGGAAAGGGTGGGTGGTCAGCTCCTGGCTGGGAGATCACGTGTTGGGTCCGGGGCAGGGGTTGCTGGGTGCTGGTGGAACTGTGACGGGCGAATGTTTGGTCCCTGGAAGAGAGTGGTATAGATGTACTCGGGGTCTGGTAGAGGTGTAATGGGGGTGTGTTCAGTACATGATTAGGTCAGTTTTGTAGTTTCCCAGGGATGAGACTAAATTTTTAATTATCTAACCTTTCCTGGGTAACTATTAACTGCTGCAAAACTCTGTGAATTCTCAGATTTCAATGGATACTCTCGGAGTGTTACACACATCAGGAACTGCTCATTGGAATCTTCAGTTTCCTAGCAATTTCCCTTCGAGTCTGCTACATTGGGTATTAGAAATCATAGAATCCCTACAGTGTGGAAACAGGCCCTTCAGCCCAACAAATCCACACTGACCCTCAGAGCATCCCACCCAGACCCATCCCCTTATAACCCACCTACTCTGAACACAATGGGCAATTTAGCATGGCCAATCCACCTAGCCTGCACATCTTTGGACTGTGGGAGGAAACCAGAGCATCCAGAGGAAACCCATGCAGACACGGGGAGAATGTGCAAACTCCACACAGACAGTCACCCGGCGGTGGAATTGAACCTGAGCAGTGCTAACCACTGAGCCACCATGCCGCCCCTACATTCTATATGGTCTCCATGCGCAACCCTCCATCTACATGACAGAAATACTATTTGGCCATTGGTGACTTCAGGCCGATATTTAGATCTTCCCTAGATAACAGGAATGGTGTTGGAGACTTGGTGAGTTTCAAGAATGACATGTTTATGCAGGAAGTAGTGTAAGGATATTCCTTGTAACTACAGGCTGATCTGATTAACATCCGTTTTTAAAATGCACATTGCACCGACTAATCCAATAGAATTTTTGATAATTAACAGTGTTAGGAACATTGCATAAGTTTAATTTTATTTTGTATTTTGTACATCAAGAAGAAGAAGACATGATTCTAGTTTCATTTTTTGAACTGGATGCCGAGATGTCTAGAGGCTTGTTTGTGAACATGAATTTTTAATTAGAGTTTACAAGCCTTAAAGTGAAGAGCTGGGGGTTAATAGTTTAGCACATTAAAAAAAACTTTTTTAAAAAACATGCATTTCTTCATGACAGGGGCAAGGAATACACAAAAATCCAGGAGGGAGCCAGTCTGTACGTGTGTGCCAGAGAATAGAGGCAGTAACATTAAACTCTCGAGGAGGAAATCCTGCAAGACTTCTGGAAACTGAAGTTAGGATGGAAGACTTGAATTGGTTAAGGGGTTAAATTTTCAGTCATATTGTTGGAAGAAAATGGGAATCACTGATGGACAGTTGGAAGTATAGGAGCCATCCTATCATGATAGCAATAGCCTTAATAAAATACAGACAATGCCTGGGAAAACTGTGGAAAAGCAGTAAGTATGGACAAAGGAAAATGGGAGTTTTAATATGTATGTTGTAATGTTTTGTATAAAGCTTGGGATGTCTGTAAGCTAGCAGAGTTAGTTTGATACTTCATGGTGGAGACTAGCTCTTACATACAAATGAAAAAACAGTCCATTGACCCGATTCCTGAGTGCTCCATCAACTTATCAAGTTGTACGATAACTGAATCTGGCATAGTC